GCAGAGTTAAAATGAACTTTAACATTTCCTCAGAGTTTCTCTGAGTCACTCTGTTCTAGAGTTAATTTAACATTTGTGTAAAAGTTCATGAAGTAAAACTGGACCAAAGTTCCTGTTTAACCCAAATCCAGAGTTAAATGAACGTTTAGAGAGTAAACAGATAACACTTTGTAGAGTTATCCTGATTTAACTCAACAACACCCAGAGGGGTTTTATTTTAACACTTTATTTGAGTTAATTTAAGATAAAATTCAGAACAAAACTGGTTCAAACTAGTTCATCTCTGGAGGGAGTTCGAAGTGGATGAGACAAATTAACACAAGAGAAGTTGAATTAACCAAATCAACTCTGGTAAATAACTCCAACTCCAACACACAAGAGACAAGAGTCAAAATAACACTTTTTGTGTTAAAAACAACTCAGAAATATTTTACACTGAAATTTTAACTCTCCAGTTTTTGCTCTGTAATGAAACAAAACACAACTCCAACTCTGTTTTTGCCTGAAATGTTTGTGTAATCTAGTGATCTCTCCTGGGCCCTATTCAAACCCCCCTCACGGTTAACAGTACGAGTCTGTACGAGGCTCCGCCCACAACGTCCCCCAGGCTCCCACACGACAACTGTCCATAAAAACACAAAAACAAACCTGATGTGACACACAGGAGTTTCATTAGTGTGACACACAACCAGTGTGTGTGCTAGTGCTCTGAAGGGGGAGGGAGTTAGCATGAGGAGCAAAGGGAGGTGAGACTCAGAGCGACAAAAACAAGAGTCAAACTTATAAAACACGAATCTGTTGTTTTTGGACGAATAGAACATTTTCAATTCAGAAACAGAAACATGAAGATCGAAATATGTGACATGCCCCACATGTGTGTAACTGCCCCTCTTTAATACACACATGTGTGTAACTGCCCCTCTTTAATACACACATGTGTGTAACTGCCCCTCTTTAACACACATGTGTGTAACTGCCCCTCTTTAATACACACATGTGTGTAACTGCCCCTCTTTAATACACACATGTGTGTAACTGCCCCTCTTTAATACACACATGTGTGTAACTGCCCCTCTTTAACACACACATGTGTGTAGTTGCCCGTCTTTAATACACACATGTGTGTAGTTGCCCGTCTTTAATACACACATGTGTGCCCTCTTTAATACACACTGCCCGTCTTTAATACACACATGTGTGTAACTGCCCCTCTTTAACACACACATGTGTGTAGTTGCCCGTCTTTAACACACACATGTGTGTAGTTGCCCGTCTTTAATACACACATGTGTGTAGTTGCCCGTCTTTAATACACACATGTGTGTAGTTGCCCGTCTTGCCCGGGCGCAGACTCACCGTGATGGGTGCTGTGCTGAAGCTGATCTTCCTCTTGGGGGGGACCTCGTCTTTAGTCTCGGGGGGGAGTCCGGGGACCTCGGTCAGGTCGGAGCCGGGGTCGTACACATAGTCCTGGTCCTCGTCTCCGTACAGGTCGTCCTCGGCGTCGGTGCAGCTCTCGCCCCAGCCCTGGAGACAGGCGTCCCCGTCCGCCGTGTAGACCACCCGCGGGCCGCTGTACTCCTCGTCCTCCGCCTCCTCTGTAGCGCCCCCTGTGTCGCCCGGTGGTACTGCGTCCGCGGTGACGGGGCTCGGCTCGGGGCTCGGCTCGGGGCTCGGCTCGGCGCTCGCAGCTTTGTCAGGTTTGTCGTCTAAAGGTTTGGGTTTGTCCCGCTCCTCTCTGTATTTGTGAGGTTCCTCATAGGAGCCGTTGACTTGCTCCCCGTTGGGGGTGGCCCCGGGGGGATGTTTGGGTGCTCCGGGGTGCTCCGCTTTGTCTCTGACCTGGACCTCGTGAGACGCCTCTGCGGCCGGACTGTGGCCGAGGAGCTCGTCTGCCGACACCGAGGGGGGGACCTTCCCTCCCAGCCTGCTCCTGTAGGTCCCCCTCACGGGCGAGAGCCTGGAGTCCTCCTCGCTCAGGTCCCCCTGCCTCTGGAGGCCGTCGGGGGAGTAGAGCGCCCGCCTGCCCGGGCTGCGGTAGTTCGCCTGGGCCTGGCTGTGGTTCTCGAAGACGGCGCTGAGCTGGCTGACGGTGGGCGAGGCGGCGTCCGTCCTGGAGCAAAGCGAGTCCAGAGAGTCCTGGCTGCCCCGGTTGGAGCGCGCCCCCCTCCAGTCGTCCAGGTGCTCGTGGGACCCCCTCTTGTCTCGGCCGTAGGGGAAGACGGGGGACTGGGACTGGTCCCTGGACTGTTGCTCAAACAGTCTCCTGGTTTCACAGAACTTGTTTCCGGCGGCTCCGATCCGGTCGGAGGACGACGAGTGCTGGAGCTTCACCACCGACCCGTCCGTCTTGTTTATAAAGTTTGTGGGTTTGGCCATTTTCTGAGGCGACACTTCCTCTCGGCCCCGGGTCCTGGGGGCCGTGTTCTCGGAGCCCATCTGCATGAACATGTCCTTGATGCGGCTGACGTGGGCCCCGTACTGCCGGCCCCTCTGCCGG